CCACGAGGGGAGCCGAGGCCGGGAACCGGACGGCCCGCAGGCTTCGCGCCCGGCGTCACAGGGCGCTGGCCCCGCGGCCGCCCCCCACCCAGGGAAGGCAGCGCGCTCCCCTTCGAGCTGGCCGGAGGCCGAGCAGCGTCGCCTTTAGCGCGGGGCCCCCTTCGAAGGGCCGGCCAGCGGGAGAGGCGCGGCCAGCGAAGTTCAGAGCTTGTCCCCCCGGGGGGATGCGCTGCCCTCTCTGCAGGCCGGAGCAGGTCTCTGCCCGCAGGGGGACCGCAGTCTACGCGGGACCACTGTCCCTCAAGGCAGGGAGGAGAGAGGCAAAGTTTGGGAAGGTGATATGAAGGTCCCTGCTTGCTAGGAATTTACAGTCCAAAAGCACGCTGGGGAATGCAGTTGCCCTCTCCACTTGGATTACGGCCTTGTGCAGCTTGGCTCGCTCACTTAAGCCATGCTCTGCAGATCCCTTCCCCTCCTGGCGTTCTCTTTACAACTGGGTCCCCCCCAAATCACTTAGAAGTGCAACCCCAGGACAGAGTGATATTTGGGTTGAATCTCCTATCATGCACCGTTTCCCCCCCCCTCCTGATTGAAACCTCAGCCTGGGGTTGTGGGGGGAGGCCCAAAGCAGCCAGATTTGCCATGCTTGCAACGAGGCTGAAACTGACGACACTTCTGTCCTTCCGGCCTCCTTGCCAGCAAATGCGGTTTCTCTAAAAGCAGCAAAACAGCATAAAATCTGGCCGCCTCTCTTTGCTTCTGCCTCCCTTTTCTCGCTCATTAAGAAGGTTTTCGAGGGAGAAATTCTTAATGAGCAAGAAAAGGGAGGCAGAAGCAAAACCCTTCTCACCCTAAGATGGGGAGAGGCGCAAGGAGGGGCACCCTTCGAGCCCCCTGGCTCTTCCCCCACCGTTTGGGACTGGGTCTTCAGCCCTGCCCGTGCCGCCGTCTGAAGGGCTCTGCTTACCAACTCAGCCCGAAAGCCGGAAACGGAAAAGAGGAAGAGCTGAAGGAAACCGCAGCAGGCAAAAAGGAAGTTACTGGGGTGGGTGAGGAGCAGAGAGAAAGGGTGTTTTGCGAGCCTGGGCCATCGCGATTATGCTTCACTCTTATTTTCTAATCTAGCTATCGGCAGGCAGGAGCCCCCCAGGAGTCTTGCTCAGGGGAGAGAGATTGCTTTTGGATCAGCAGTTGTTAAAAATAAATGTTCAGCATCTCCCCGCCGCGCACACACACACAGATAGGGGAAACCGTCCAGAAAGAAAGGACTGGAACCATTCACA